GGGGGGGGGGGGGGCGTGGTTACGACACACACGGCTGTGTGTACGGTAACACATGCTGCTTCAACAAAAAGTAAAAAAGCATCTCAAGGCTACTAAACCGCAATCAAAAAAACCGCTCCGCTTGCCACTAGACGCCAACAACGTCGCATTCGGGCTTCTCCTACTACAGGACTCGCCTTGCGAAACTGACGAGCCGTCGACTAAAACAATAGACTACCTATAATTTGAGCAACCAGACTCAGGCACCTATATTACCATTCAATACCACCTGAGCCACGTCAAAGTCTACCAACGACCCCAGCAGCCAGCGGGAGACTCCATCACTCCGTCGCTTAATCCCGTAGCCGCTTAGTGCGAGCGCCCATCTGAAGGCCTTGCCCCTGTCCGTGCTGGTGAGGTACCGTAGGTTGTTGTCTATGACGTTGAATTGACACCTGACCGCGAACCACTCCCGTTCTCTTGCGTCCCAGCGCGACTGCGTGGGGTTGAAATTCTTGCTAGCGAACTCGATGGGTACTTCGGCGTCTCAGATTGGCGAACTACTGTCACCTTCACTTCGCTTTCTCTCGCATAGCCTCGAGTGTCGTCATTGCTGTCTGCTGATCAGCTTAGCCGTGCTGCCTTCGGCGTGGCCTTCGCCTTCAGCCAACACGGACATCTGGATAGCAACCCTCCATCTCTGGCGTTTCCTGCAAACCCAGAAATCACCGCGGAGTTTCTTTCGATAAGACAGAAGAGGAGACAGAAAAAATCTACCCCGACAGGGGGGACGGTCAGCATACCAGCAGAGCAGGCACCGTACAGAACCAGGCTCGACACGTGACACCAAATGTGGAGTTAGCCAGTTCAGGATCTGGGACACAACGGCCACGTCGTTCCCGTGGGAAATAGCCGTGGGGAGATCGTCCGGTATTCTTCGTTTGGTACGTACCAGCAGGACCCGTTTTCCGCCCACAAGCACAGCGTTGCAACCCGGATTTGGAATGGCCAACTTAAGAAGAAGCTGTATAATATCTCACCTGGTCTGTCGTGGGCGAGTGTCGTCTCTTGCCGTGTTGTGTCTTGCCGTGTTGTGTCTTGCCGTGTGCGTGTTTTGTCTACGTTCGCGGAATAAACAGGAGGAGATAAAAACTACCATGGCAGCAGCAACCACATCCAGGCACGATGGCTCAATGAGCGGCACAGAGGAACTATCTCGATGCGCGAGTGACGGTTTCGCTTCTACAAGCCGAAGGAAGATGCCAAGCAAGCAGGGTCGCATATATGAGCTAACCCGTCGGAGAGAGAACTAGACAAGGTCTTGACGACGGTACTCTGAGAGTAGACACTGAACGACCGAGGGTAAGCCTGCTGGTGGAAGTAGTGAGCGTCACAAGAAAGGCCACGGGGCTAATGTGTGCCCGACCGAAAATTGGAGCGGGTGCATGTGGACTTGGCAAGTGCAAGCGAGCTGGTATGACGTCCCGTCTAGACGTTGCCGTCAGAGAGAACTTGTTGCAGAAACACTCGAAGTGTTGGTTACGACCAAGGACTGGCACAACAGGGCATAGCGTAGGCCTTTACGGCCACCCTTTTCTTGCGCACAAACACGGGAAGGCCTCGCTCCTCACGACGAATTATTATTACGCCCATGTCGTCTATCTAGTTCCTCTGGCAACTCCGGTCTTAGCGACCTCAACGTGTCACGGGACAACCACAGATGGCGGCGGGTCACAAGCATTACGTGTACTGTGATCACGGCTTTTGGAATGTACCCCTGGTGGGGGCGGAAAGTCGATCGAATACACCGTGATTCCGTGCAGCTCACCGACCCGGTTCCATGGATTGCATCTGTGAAGGCCTCAATGCCAGACGAGGGTGCAAGCGCCGTGCAATGTAAGGGAGCTGTGGTTGTTCTGTAGCTTCTTTCCAGGACTCTGATGACGGCATCTATTCCGCTGCCGGCAGTACATAATTATGCAAATACTAACGAAGCCCAAGGAGCATACATGCTAATACTTAGCTCAAATCAAAGACTACATCGAAACAGCGATAACTGAACTACAAATCTATACCGAAACTCTAACAGACAGAACACTGGTCCTTTAAAAATAGACCCGGAAACCGAAACTCAGGTGCTCGCACGTAAAATGAAGAGACTGATACATACCATAGACGTTAAGACCACTACATACAGGGTAAACTGAACCCTGAAGATAAACCATCAAGACGACAATTACGCACAAAAATTTCCGCACACAAGCACACACATATCGCACACATATTCGGACACAATCTCGACCACAATCTTCAAAGACAGATCTAGATCGCACACACGATCGACCACAATTTGACGATCTAGATCTGGATCTAGATCTGGATCTAACCAGAAATACCCGAGAACTCAAGAAAAAGACCGATATTAGTAGAGTCGCTGTCATGACCGACTTGCTGTCGTTGTTCCTCCGGAAGAAGGGAACCGAGAATGTGGTGGGGAACTGGAGAGAATGCCGGAGTTGTTGAGAACCGCGGAGGAAGTAATGGGTTCTTGTGAAGTCCCTAGGAAACGAAAGCGCATGGAGAGTGAACGAGACCATGACGACCTGGTCAGCGCGTTTGAGGAACCCGTTAGGTTCTCAGTCGAGGAAGGCTGTGGTCTGTCGTAGGCGAGTGTCATCTCTTGTCGTGTGCGTGTTGTATCCACACACGCCAGAGTTTTTTTGGAATAAACAAAATGATGGCAGCCACACCCAAACACGATGGCTCAATGAGCGACACAGAGGTACTACCCCCCGAGCGACGAACCATCTCACCTCAGAGACGACGCCTGACGCAGATCCAAGTCTGGTAGAACTTTCCTTTTTCCCGGTTCTTCGAAAATGCACGCTTTGAAGTGTGAGGCGAGTAGCCTGACGGGTAGCGAGTTGTTGTCAGTATTGATCCGTCCGGATGGCAGCCAGACGGGGTTGGACGATTGTGAGGCACAGGTAGTTACGATGCAGGCGGGTGGCGCCGGTGGCGAGGTGACGGCTTTGGTGTTGGCGCCCAAGACGGCGTTTAAGGTGGACTTGGAGACGGTCGGCGA